TACTGTTATCTCTCAGATGAGCGAACTTTGGCGCAGTCATAATGCAACAGATTGCTGAGTGGGAAAGCTGCTTATCCCCTCCAATACTTTTGCTTCTTATGAAGTTCAGCAAATTATTGTGAATGGGATTTTATATCCCTTACTCTTCTCTCTCGCCCTCTCTCTTTCCCACTGATTTGCTTTGTTTTTTATTTTATTTTTTATTCGGGGTTGATTTGTATGCAGCGCTAAAAGCTTGAAAAATGTTTTACCCGCACGTGTTTCCTGCGCTTTGATACACACACACACACGCACACCCACACAGATATTCGAGACACATTATATAAAATAGAATGTGTAGGAAAAATAAAAAGCACAACAATGAGATGGCAGTTGGGTTTGCGCTGCGACAGTCACATTACAATTTTCAGGGGTTGAGGGTTGCCCCACCCTTAGGCAAGTGGAAGAGCATGAAAAGTGTTGCAGTTCGTTTTTGTTTTTGCCTTTCTTCTTCTTATTTATGTGGCAGATTTCGTTGGGCACATTAGGGCTTCTAATGAATGAGTGGGAAGGCCGGAACGGCACCTCTCTGTGGGGAGTATTTGCACTCGCACTCTCGCTCGCACTTGCACTCTCCCTCTTCGCATTGCAAATTCTTCGGGCTGCATTTTCCAAATTGAATCCTGCGAGAATGCGCGCAGACAAACATCTAAATTGTCAACGTAATGTGACAAAATATCGAAGTCAGCAGGTAGAGCCCGAGACGGGAACAGGCAGCAGCCATCAGGACAGTAGCCAACACCCGCGAGGACATCGCCTGACGCCTCTGTCGACTCTGTTGCCTCTGTTGCCTTTGTTGCCTTTGTCGCCTCGGCGACTCAATTCAGCTGTGTGAAGCTTGCCAGGCACGAATTCAATTTCGCGTCCACAGATGCCGTTCACCTTCGGCACGTACCACTATCAACGTCAACAAGTTACACACGGCGGGCGGTCGGGGCTGCCGGCTGCCGGCTGCCTGGTGGGCGTGGCAAACTAAAGTGGAAAACAGCAGTCAGACAATACAATTGCTTCCTTGAATGCATCTGCCGGCTCCACGGCGTCCTTGTCGCTGTCATCCTACATCCGTTGAAATCGTGAGACGCTCCCGCGCTTAGTCTCCTCCGCCCGGGCCCCAGCTACCGCTTCCGCTCCCACTCCTGCTCCAGCTCCAGCTCTAGCTCCCGCTCCCAGTTTCATTCCCTGTCCGCGCTCCTTGTTAGTCACCATGGCGAATGCTCCTGATGCTTCTGACATTTTATACTGAATTATTTATTTAGTTTTGCTTTCTCTATGTGCTCATTACTTCCTTTTTCTTTGCATACCCTGTAGACGGGAAGGTGCCTCGAATGGGGTAGATTCACTTGGGAAATAATATTGAGAGAGAAATGACGGAAGTAAGGGAGAGTAGAAAGCAAGAGAGAGAGAGGGAGAGTGAGATAAAGTGGGTGGAATAAAGTGACAGAGAGAGAGAGAGAGAGAGAGAGAGAGAGAGAGAAAGAGAACAAAATGAAAAGATAAGATGAACAGGAAATGAGAAAGAGATAAATAATATAGATAAAGAGAGAGAGAGAGAGAGAGAGAGAGAGAGCAAAATAAAAAGATAAGATGAACAGGAAATGACAAAGAGATAAATAAGATAGAGAGACAGGCAGAGTAATAAATAATGGGTAATACCAGCTGGAGGGATTGCTAGACAGAGAGAGAGAGGAGATTATAAAGATTATGCTGTGGATTATTTAAAATTTAAAATTATCTATGATCTTCAATTGATATATATAATAAAAGTAGAGAAATACTCTACAGAGACTTTTCTTGAAAATATCATACTGGGTATTTGCTAGTTGGGCATACCCCTCTGTGTCGGTATTGATAGTCTTTTCTGCTCCCTCGCAAAGTTGTGTACGTACTTTGACATTTTTATTGTGCTGCGTTAAATTTGCAGACGACAAAGTCAAGAAGGTTGAAATATTATCCAAGTCCACGACCAGAGCAAGGCGATCGCTTACGAATCTAATTAAATGTGTGTATGTACTACATGCTCTAGATATGTATGTATCTCTCTAGATATCTATATAAGTATCTCTTTGAATATAGATGCATTCTATATACACTTTGCGAACTTGGCACCAAATGAAATTGAACAAAATGCGGCTCTCAAACTGTTTGATTACCTCGGAGATTTGCGCTCTACTAAAATTAAATATGACTGAGAAATATTTTCAATTTGTGGGCACGCAAACTTTTCTCTCCCTCACACTCTCTTCTGCTCTCTCTCTCTCTCTCTCTGTCTCTTTATATACATGCTATGTATACTCCGTACATTTTGTTACTTGCTTTTGGTTACCCATGGGAAATTTTCTAACAGAAAATAAAAGTTTCTGGTCAAGTGAGTGCAAAACTTTTAAGTGACGCACTTTTTTTTTCGCCTGTTCTTCCTTCACTTCTCCTTATTACTCCTCTGCCTTCTACACTGTAGGTGGTTAAGTGGAACTGGATTATGGATGGCTGTACAATTTATAAGGCTTGACTTTGCTTTGCACGATTTTTGTTAGTGTGTGTGTGAGCACTTTGATTACAGCTGTTGATTACATTTGCCATTTGTGACCAAGTATATAGAGCATCCAATAACTGGGGACAAGCGTCGACTGATTTCCTTGCGGAGCGTCTAGATTGATGAGCTTCCTAACTGTTATGCATTCTTATCAGCTTCTTCAGCTTCTTGATTGTTTTTGTGTAGGGCAAAAGCAATGCTATAAATGTTTCACTGAAACAGTGCTGGAAATGATTCTACTTGATTCCATACAGTGTTGATTAACATTAGAAATGATGATTACATTACATATAACAACGGTTTATTTATTTATATTTAAACTCTAAAATTGATTGTTAGCTTCCGTTCATATTACATATTATTGATACTGTACAAATAAAATCTTTTCATTTACTTTAAATTTAAGAATTTGTTTGTTTATTGCTAACTCTAGTGACAATTTAATCTTGTTTAGCACTGACATCCTCGAGTCAGCTGCCATCAGAGTCAATATTTTGGATTATCAATTTTTGAATTATCCCATAAATCTGCTCATGCAGTTACCGTAAAATCAGTCGTCCTGGTTTTGCAGCTCTGGTAATTTGGGCCAATTGTTGAGATTCCTTGTTTAAGCTCGGCATGTGGGAAATTCAGATTTGGATGCCATAAACAAATTCGTAATTGCCTTGTAATGCCTTGTGTTGACAGACGTACGACAAACAGATATGGGCGGGCGCTAGGCCCATTCACTCAGAGCGAACTGGAATGCTAGAAACAGCAGAGAGCACCGTATATGTATGTGTGTGTGTGTACGGTTGCAAAAAATTAGCATAAAACTTCGATTTCGCCTGCGCACATTGCGGCCGGCCGTAAATGGCAAACGGACGGAAAACGAGGCGCAAAACGTATTTGCCAGCCTACAAATGGCAATAGATTGTCGACCATAAACCGAATCGGGCCTTAATGCTGCATACGTACGAGCACGTGAATGAGAAGCTGTAGCAATGTAGAAGAGAGCGCGCGACTATCGGATACCCTGTGGATAGTGGCTGAGTGATTGATAGAGAGCTATATCAGTCAGTGGGTAGCTTACATACGAGCAGAGCTCGGGAGGGTGCTGATCTAAAGAGAGAAGGAATAGAGCAGAGAGAGAGAGAGAGAGAGAGAGAGAGAGAGAGAGAGAGAGAGAGGGAAAGAGACAGAGAGAGAAAGAGACCGAGAATTGGAGAATATCCTGTGGTGAATAAAATGGAGGTAAAGCACATACGACTATGCAATACCCTCTGATGAGCAACAAGCTGATGGTTATAATGCGACTATGGAATACCCTATGCTCTAAATAGACTGATCTTAATCAGTCGAAAAGAGACTTTTTTATATTCATATACATGCATACATACACAAGAGCACGACAAGATGAGGATGCAAAGATGCCATGAAAAACATGGACAAAGGAAATAGACAAGAAGTGGACACCCTGATACTCTATAATTACCATTTTAGCGGGAAGTAATTCAAGAATAATTTATCAATATTAACAAAATATTAAATAATAATAACTTTGCTTTTTAATTTTCTTTATAAATATATATAAATGAAAAATAGTCGAATTTCAGATAGTGTCTGGCTTGATAGATACACGTTCTAATAAAACATATATTAATTAGATCTATTCCCTATACAACTAATATTTACCACACTTTCAACGCCCCACTTGGTACAGGGTATTTTAATTGGCAAAGTGCATAGCTTCACACATCTAAGCTAATTGGTTATTTTCGCATTAATTGCAAATCTATTTCAATACGAAATCCTCCCTATCTCCGCCCCCTCTGCAAAGGCTGCAGAGTAAATCTATAAGCTGCTGAGCTAAACTCTATTGTCTGCATGCGCTGATGACTGTGGGCTGGGGACTGAAGGGAGAAGAGAGTGAACTGAACGTCCCGTTCATTTGACTAATTAAATTTTGGAAACTTGTCTGCTGGAATTTTATGAATATTTTAAAAGTTTTGCCAAATGATTTGCCTCATCGTCAGAGTTTGGGGGCTGCAAGACAAAGGCCAAAGCCTCCTCAAATTGAAAATTCATCAAAAAAGTTGAATGGTTTGTGTAAAATGAATCAAATATTCATACATGCACGCAACTTTTTATTAGTTGTTCCGAAAAAGTTGGATTGGCTAATAATTCGCTAGCTCTCTCTCTCTCTCTCTCTCTCGCTTGCACGCTCCAATTTTATCTCTCTATGTCTAAAAAGCAGTTAGCCTTAACTGCTGGAACCACAGAAACTTGAAAGGCTTTTGGCCAGCTCTGGCGAGTGTTGGAAAAACTGTGGGTTTACCAGTATTGGGTAGTGCATCAGATTAATTTGCATGCATGATACAATTGTGTTCGAAACATTCGAAAGTGTTTTGGAGTGTTGGGCAATGCATTTGTGCTCGAATTTTCTGTGGGGTCTGTAGCTTCTCTGAGTTAAATTTTTGACTGCTTTAAAATGAAGCCACTTAATTACAAATTGACCGAGGAGAACCTCAATTTAAAAAGCGATTTGTGCTTCATAGACAATGTGCTGCGTACCCATGACACCCAGGCCGATTCGGAAGTGCGCCGTTATCTGTTGGACTTGTCCTACAGTAAGCGATTATTTTATAAGCGCATTTGCCCACAAGTAGCAAATATTTTGCTATAATATTTTCCTTCCATTTTGTCCGACAGCTTTGGCCCGCAATCAGCTCGTTGAGGCGCGTCGCTTTGCCAATCTGAGCAACAAGACCTTTATAGATGTGAAGGACTTGCGCGTTGCCAAGATCGACAAAACGGAGGACTACCAGATGGGCTCGCTGCTGCACAACAAGGGGATAGTGCAGCCGCTGCCCACGCCGGCGACGACGACGAGCCTGCTGCTGCCGCCCTGGCGCAACTGCCAGGTGGGCGCCAACGCTGAGCTGAAGCAGGTCGTGGCCGAGGCGGAGGCCCTGAAGTCAGCAGAAATCGGGCCGCCGCCCTGCAAAGTACCTCGCATGCGTGCGCCCAATCAGCCAACAGCGACTTAAGAACTCGCATTGAATTTAATTGCAACAAATACAACTTCATTATGAACGTTTTTATTTTATTATTAATTAGATTTGCTTTTAGCACACGGCTGCTCCATTTCGTTGTTCTTCGGATCGAGGGCGCCGTTAGCTCACTTCTGCATCATAAGATATTTCCTTAGGCGGCGATCGTAGGCGTCTTTGTCGTCCTCCTCCTGCTCCAAATCATATCGCTTCAGATTGTAGCCGTAGGTGCGACAGACTTGGACCGGCATCAGGCACATCCTGCAGATCGTCCTCGTGTAGATCATCTCCATACTGTTGCTGGCCTCGACCGCGTTCGAGGCGTGCAGCCTCCTGTAGACCATGGCCATGCGCTTGTCGCTCCTCGAGGTCATCGCGAAGCGCACACGATGGGGCTCCATCGACGCAAAGATCTGCTCATCTTGCTCCGACTGCTCTGTCTGCTCAAATCGATTGATAAAGATTAAAAGGTCTTCGACCTTCATAGCGACTTACTGTGCTGCAATTATTCCACATCTCCTCGAAACTTTGATTATTCATATTGAATTGCATTATGTAGCTCTGCTTTGTATTGAGTGCTCTGATTTGATTGAAGTCAAACATCAAAGTGACTATGACAGTCAGCAGAAAATCATTGCAATGCGTATTTCAAATATCATTTCAGAGCTTGCTTTCTAATTTCGATGGGCCAAAATTTGGGAAAAGTCTATAATCTGAAATGCCTGAGTATATAGTATATAGCCTTGACTGCAGCTGAAATTTACTCATTTTTATACCCTGAACCCATTTTCAATGGGAAATCAGGGTATAATGGTTTTGTTGAAATGTATGTAACAGGGAGAAGGAGGCGTGGCAGACCCCACAAAGTATATATATTCTTGATCAGGGTGACGAGCTGAGTTGATTTGGCCCTGTCCGTCTGTCTGTCCGTCTGTCCGTCTGTCCGTCTGTCCGTCTGTCCGT